TTGAGAAAAAGAAACTTAAATGAAAGATTGTTCAACAAAATCAAATTGCATATTTTAACATATTTTGCTATTCTGAACAAATTTTTAATTTTTTTGTCAAAAAGGCTATTATTACGCGATATCCAGACATCCCTAAAATTTTAGGACACCCTGTACTATTGTGGTGCATAATAAAGTTGTTATTAAGTTATTTAATTTATATTTAACACATTCTTATGTCATTAAAAAATTAAATGTAAATGTTTATATCGAGTTAATTTGCTTTGACATACTGCTTTTTTCTTACAAATGTATGCACAAATGCTTTATGCTTGTTAATATAATAGAATTTTATTACTATTGTTACTCACAAAGTTAATATTCAAATAACTATATATCAAATACACAAAACATGTCTTATTATGAAATTAATAATTTTTTTTATTACAAATTTACATCAGGGCGAAATATATATGTGACACGGACAGTTAAAAGGGACTTACGATCCGAAAAAAAGATTTCGAGAAAAACGACTTTGAAGTTTAGCAAGTTGGTTTTGATGCTTGTGAACGTTTTAATGAATTGAAACTTGTTACTCGGAGGTTTTGGGGGTCGCTGATGACGATTATGATGTTATTTTTTGAAAATTCAAAATGGCGGATTCAATATGGCGGATGACTTTTTTAAAAATTGATCAGATTCGCTTGAAATTCGTCACTCGGGGATTTTCGGGGTCGCTGATTACGAATATGGTGTTAGTTTTTAAAAATTTAAAATGGCGGATCCAATATGGCTGAAGACTTTTTTAAAAATTGATCTGATTCGCTTGAAATTCGTTACTCGGGGGTTTTTGGGGTCAGTGATTACGAATATGATGTTAGTTTTTAAAAATTCAAAATGGCGGATCCAATATGGCGGATGACTTTTTTAAAAATTGATCGGATTTGCTTGAAAATCGTTACTCAGGGGTTTTTGGGGCCGCTGATTACAAATATGATGTTAGTTTTTAAAAATTTTAAATGGCGGATCCAATATGGAGGACAACATTTAAAATTTGTTCGAATTTGTGTAAAACTCAAAAATTTCGTTGGATCCGCCATTTTGAACTTTTAAAAACTAACATCGGATTCGTAATCAGCGACCCCAAAAACCCCCGAGTAACGAATTTCAAGCGAATCAGATCAATTTTTAAAAACGTCATCCGCCATATTGGATCCGCCATTTTGAACTTTTAAAAACTAACATCGTATTCGTAATCAGCGGGCCCAAAAACCCCCGAGTAACGAATTTCAAGCGAATCCGATCAATTTTTAAAAAAGCCATCCGCCATACTGAATCCGCCATTTTGAATTTTCAAAAACTAACAGCGGATTCGTAATCAGCGACCCCGAAAACCCCTGAGTAACGAGTTTCAAGCGAATTTGACTAATTTTAGAAAAGTTTGTCAAATTTGATTTTGTTGTACTTTTTTTTGTCAAAGTACCTAACTTTGATGTGAAATTGTTAAAAAACTAATGCAGCTAGAAAGTTGCGGTTTAATGCGTTGGAAAGAGCGGCTTATTTACTATAAGAATCAATAAAAAAATGAAAATCGATTTTTTCGGACCGTAGGTCTCTTTTAACTGTCTGTGTCACATATATTTACAAGTATAAAATATGCATCACACATTCAACATCAAATTAATTATTTACGTGCAGAAGTGGAATAACAATGAAGCTATCATTTTGATTAATTTTGAGTCACTTTCTTTTAATGGCATTAACATGAATTATTTGGTTCGAAGAAAGTGTTTCAGAATTTTTAATGTAAATTAATAGAAAAAGAAAAAAGCTAAGATAAGCAACTACTATCTTGGATATAAAACCACATATACGGCACTGTCAAATTTAAACTGTTCAAATTTAACTTTATATTTAAGACAAAGGACAGCTACATAACATTGTTCCGACACAGTTCTAGAACTACGTTGGAACATCACTTGCAGATTATTTGTGACTAACGTGTTACAGAAATGTTACGTAACATTGTTACAGAATTGTTCCGAATTGTAGTAACAAATGTCTTCCAGAACTTAACAGCAACAGAATTTCAGAACAGCTACATAACATTGTTCTGGCACAGTTCTAGAACTACGTTAGAACGTCAGTTACAGGTCACTTGTGACTATTGTGTTATAGAACTGTGACGTAACATAGTTACAGAATTGTTCCATTTTGTAATAACAAATGTTTTCTAGAACTTAACTGCAACAAAATTTCAGAACAGATACATAACATTCTTCTAGCACAGTTCTAGAACTACCTTGGAACGTCAGTTACAGATCATTTGTGACTTTCGTGTTATAGACATGTTACATAACATTGTTATAGAACTGTGACGTTATCATAATATAGAACAGTTCTGTCACTCTTTTGTAACAACTGTTCTGTAAAACTGTGACATCACTGTTATAGAACATTTATAGAACGTGTTTGCTGGGTACGTTGTTCGGTCCATGGCATGAGCAGTCCATTCATATATAGCATAGATATAACCTAGCGTAAATTGCAAGAAATCCATGCTGATTTATAATGGATTTCGAGCAAATTGTGTATAAGCCATGCAATATTAGTATAAGCCTTTGTGATATTAGCAAACGAAGCTCTTGAGAAAAGCGCACGAGTAATTCTTGTGAGCTAATAGGTACAGATTTCTCTCTGTGTGGTATTTCGAAATATTTTAATAATTTTATATAAATCAATGAAGAATTTAATTTTTATTTAAAAAGAACTATGTAATTACTTAAATTCTATTATTTGTACGTCTAACACAGGTCTACAAGGTATTTTTTTTGAGATATCAAAGTGGTTCCCAATGTAATTTTGTATCTTGAACACGATCCCTAGTTCCAAAGTTGCGTATCGCGTCAGGATTTTGAGTAAAGTGGGGGTAAAGTCTCCAAAAACCGTGTTTTTTAGGGTTTTCAGTATTTGTTTTCTCCTTAAGGGGAAAGTCAAAAAATGTGTAAATTTCAGAAATTTTTTTCTCAAACGCATTGAAATAAATTAATACGAGTGTTTGTGGATGTTTTCTTATATATTTAAACCTTCGAAATATAATTTTTTTATTGAAAAAAATAAAATTTAATAATAAAATAAACGTCATATACTCGCTGCTAAAATTTTCCCATTGCATCCAATCTAGGTTCAACAATTCTTATCAAAAACAAAAAAACAAAATTTTTTCTTCTATCGTACACAAGTGCCTTCTGCATAAATAAATTTTTTTTTTAATGTCGAATTTAACATTTTGGTTTAAGAAAAAGTAAGTTTTTTTTGTCGAAAATTAAAATTTTTTTTCTAAATCGTGTAAAATTTTTAATTTTCACTTTTTATCGAAATCTTTTAATTCATATAGAAGGTTATAATGTACGATCAAAGAAAAAATTTTGTTTTTTTGTTTTTAATAAGAATTGTGGAACCGAGATTGGACGCAATGGGGAAATTTCAGCAGCGAGGCGTTATATATATGACATTTATTTTATTATTAAATTAAATTTTTTTTCATGAAAAAATTATATTTCAAAAACTTAAATATATAAGAAAACATTCACAAAATCTCGCATCAATTTATTTCAATGTGTTTGAGAAAAAAAATTCCTGAAATTTACTTATTTTTTGACCTTTTATATAATTATGTAGGCACCCCCCTTAACTTGACGTGATAGAAACTTCTATATAGGCTTAAATTAAAGCTTATATCTTGCACTTTAAGATTCATATGCGCAAAATAAAAAAAAATTAGGTACAAGTCACCCAAGAAGATTATTATGGTCATTATCTCCATTTTTCAAAAAAAAAGTCTCTAGCACGTCAGGTTAAGGAGAAAGAAAATACTGAAAACCCTCAAACATACATTTTTGGTGGTTTTAACCCCAATTTTTTTCCATTTTTTTTGTCTTGCATATATGGGACTTAAAGTGTAACATATAAGCTTTAATTTAAGCCTATATAGAAGTGTCTAACACGTTGGGTTAAAGAGAGAAAAAATTAAACCGTCAAAAACACAATTTTTGGAGACTTTATCCCCTCTTTACTCAAAATCCTGAGGTGATACGCAACTTTGAAATCCGGGATCGTGTTCAGCACACAAAAATACATTGGAAACCACTCTGATAACTAAAAAAAGAAGTCTTATTTTGTAGATCTGTGTAATTAATTAATAATAATAATTAAAATTGTTTTAAAGAAACCGAAAGTTAACCGAACTGGGTTAACTTTCAGAATATCCAATCCCCAGGGGAGTTGATACTCTGTGTGTATTTTCACTTAAAAATTTTAAAACATAATCTATAATTTTTTTCTATTTAGGTCCGTTTCTAGAAAATCAATTTTCAAAAAAATCTAAAGACTATATCCCAGATAGCACCGAATTTTGCAGGAAGTTAACTACCATAAGTTTAGAAGTTAACACTGTTAACTTCTCAGAAGTTTTAAATGTCCTCAGAGTTTAAGTTAACACTGTTAATTTGCTGGAATTTATAAAGCTAAATTTGCCGAAAGTTTTTTTAGTAAGTTTGCGTAAATTTTGAAAGAAGTTTTTTCTGATAAATTCAAAATTAAAAAAAAAATTCTTTTTCAAGATGTATGTATTTTTAGTACATCCATAGCTTGTCGTTATAGGTAAATGTGATTAAAAAGTATTGCGCAGCCCTAGTTGCCATAGAAAACATCTGCGCATGAAAATAGATTTTTAAGTTTACCATAAAAATTTTGTGTAAAATTACAAAGCAAAACTTTTAGCAAATTTACTTTTCTAACTTTTAACAAGTTGACAGTCTTAACTTAAACTCTGAGGACATTTAAAACTTCTGGTAAGTTAACGGGAAGTTAACAACGTTAACTTCCAAACTTATCGCCATTAACTTCCTGTTAACTTTCTGTAAAGTTCGGTGCTATCTGGGATATGAGAGCATTGGTTTTTTAGTTTTATTGAAAAGCTTGTAATATTTGTAAAATAAATATTTATTTATTGTTTCCAGTCATAAAAGAAGCCGTGCAACACCTATGCACTAATCGTCACTAGATGGAGAATTTTATACAACTTTAAAGCAATTTTGAAAAAAAATATAAGAGCAATTCTATCCAAGTCTAAAACTGGTTCCACACATACTGTATGATGATGTTAAGAGCGATAACAAAGGAGACTTCTCTCTTTTTACTTGCCTACGTACTTTGGTGTGCTAAAATCTTCATTAAAAGAAATAATCATATACAACAGGCATAATTATGAATAATACTGCCCGACCGTGTAACTAGGAATCAAACATACGATATTGATCATTCAACCATTATATATTGAAGTTCCACAAAAACTGTATGATTGGAACAAAAGTTAAATTGCTGTTAAAGGATTGTGCATGGGTAAGATTACAAATATTGCATTTTTATTGTAAACCCCTGCTGTAAATTTCCATACCCGTGCAGAAATTGTCCCATTTTGCCGTATTTAAGGTAGGGCTTTAATCAGAGCCTCACCACTTTCCCTGTTTGAAGAAAATACAAATGTAAAATATAAAGTTTTTAGGATTCCTTTTTATAAAAAAGTTATTATCAATTAAAGGAATCCTTTATACTACTGTTTTAATAGTTTTTATATTTTTGGGGTTTCAACAGAATTCCCGGACGATACCCCAAATAGGATATATTCACTATCTCTAAATTTGAATCAGTGGAATTTCACTGGTGAACCAGTTATAAGTATACCACTGGTTTCATTCAGTGAAAATTTCACTGGAAACCAGTGTGTTTTCACTGATTGACAGTGAAAACTTCACTGATTGAATCAGTAGACTCTGTCGATAAAACAGATTTCACTAATTCAATGTCAATCAGTGGTATACTTATAACTGGTTCACCAGTGAAATTCCACTGATTCAAATTTAGAAAGAAAGATTTAATACTAAAACCATCGAAGATTCTGCATACCTAGAACTACCACCGGTACATTTTGTCCCATTATTCATTTATGTTTTTTTATTAACATTTACTAGTTAGAAAAATAAAATGATACATGATTTTCATAGGTTTTTTCACGTAGATTACGAATCCGAAGTCGGAAATACTCCAGCATTTTAATTTTTCACTAAAAAATATAGGTTTGAGTGATAAAAAACAGCGTTTTTTATGTTAACTTTAAAACAATATAGAAAATTATCCCGAAAAGTTGCAAACTTCCGGTAGGCCTTAAAATAATAATATAAACCTTCAACAATAAATTATGTGTATGAAAAACCCAAAACTTTAAATGAGATTTTGCCAAAAACGGATTTTTTTATAAGCGCGTTTCACCAGCAGTTTCGTACACTAATCGTCCGCTGCGATGCTTCCCATGTTGATTTGAATCAAAAACGCTTGTCTTGTAAATATTAATATAGGCAATTACAATACAAAAAAAGCATAATTTCACATATATTATCATTGTTTATACTTTCTATTAACTGTATAAAATGATTATTTTTCAATTTTGTAATAATAATTGTTTTTAACAATATTAATAACCATGGTACAAAATGTCCCGTCGGTAGTTCTAGGTATGCCGGTTCAAATCTCAGGTTCTAATAATTATAAAATTCTGAAATTTGGTATACTGATTAAACTCAACAAAAAAATAAAAGTCAGACAATTTCAGCCCTCTAGCTAGTCATTAACGAAAGATAAACAAGAAAAATCGTGTGCCGCGGGACAAAATGTACCGTCGGTAGTTCTAGTGTTAAAATAGGGCTCTGATCAGGACTTCGATAATTTTTCTTGTTTACAAAAATTCAAATAAAGTAAGTTCTTAATTTTACCGTTTTTAAAAAAGTTATTAATAATAATTAAAATATTTCATATATACATGTTTTACTACATTTTTTTACACAGGTCTACTTTTTTTTTAGATATTGGATTGGTTTCCAATGTAATTTTATGTGCTAAATACGATCTCGGGTTCCAAAATTGCGTATCACGTCAGAATTTTGAGTAAAGTGGGGGTAAAGACCCTAAAAACCATTTTTTTGACGGTTTTCAGTTTTTTTTCTCCTTAACCCGATCCGAAGATTTCAAAAACATGCCATCTCAGATGTCAAATTTTTGTTGATTGTTTTAGGTTGGTAACACTTTCTTGAGAATGTTATATTATAGTTAACAAAATTTTATTCTTGAAATCAATATTAAAAATTAAGAAAAGTATAATTATTAATAATAAAATTATTAAAGGTTCTACCGACTTAACCATCAATATTCAACAAAATATTAATTATTTTGACTCATCAATTTTTCGTTTACAGTGTTACCAACCTAAAACAATCAACAAAAATTTGACATCTGAAATGGCATGTTTTTGAAATCTTCACTGGAATGGCAGGTTTCCCTAATATTTTTTAGATTGTCATGTTCCTCAACATTCGCCTGAATTGGCGTGTTTCTGCCCTCAATCGAAGATATAGGCTTAAAGCTTAAATCGTTTACTTTAAGACTCATATACGCAAGATAAAAAAAATTTTTAATTTTGAAAAAAATAGGGGTAAAGACCCAAAAACCGTGTTTTTAAGGTTAGGGTTTTCAGTATTTTTTTCTCCTTAGCCTGACGTACTAAAGACTTCTAGATAGGCATAAATTAAATTTTAAATCCATTCCATTGGTTTTTTTAAAAATATTTTCAATAAATTAATGTAAAATGACGTATAACTTTACACATAATTTTAAAAAATTGTTAAATTCATCAAATTGATGTATTTTTGAGGTTAATTAATTAATAATAATAAAAATTATATTTAATTTCAATAGTGTTGTGAAATACAATAGAAACTGAATTACCGACCACATGTGATAATAAAAATTTCCCTTTCACGGTAAGTAAAGTTATAGTTATGCATAAATACTTACATGTCACTATAGTCACCTTGAATATGCTTTTGCTGGAATATAGATTTTGAATTGAATATGACATCCCAGATAGCACGGAAACTTGCAGCAAGTTTGCGGCAAGTTCATCGCGCAAGCTTGCTGCAAGCTTGTCTGAGCTAGCGAAATGTCCCACCCAGGGCAAGCTTGCCGTGAAAGCTTTCCAGGAAAGGTTGCTGCAATCTTGCCATGAAAGATTACTACAAGATTGCTGCAAGCATACTAAAAATGATTGCGGCAAGCTTGCCGTGAAAGATTGCTGTAAGCTTGCTACGTAAAGTTGCAGGAGAATTTCAACAAGCTTCTGGAAAGCAATTTTTAAAAAATACATTTTAAATTAAAAAAAAATTTATTTGTTTTTTTTAAATTTGAAAATCCTTGTGACGTTTATTATTATTAATTATGTCCTGTTTATTTTTATTTGGAAACTTAACGAGAAAATTTTCGAAACAAATTTGAGGGGACTGGGAATTGAACCCGGGTTCGACAGACACTAACCAAAGACCCTAACCAAGAACCTACTCGACCAACTATCAGAGAATAAAAAAATCTTGCTCTTAACCCTCGTTTTTCAACTGTTTTTGAACTCATAAAAACAGTCGAGGGTTAAGAGCAAGATTTTTTTATTCTCTCATAGTTGGTCGAGTAGGTTCTCGGTTAGGGTCTTTGGTTAGTGTCTGTCGAACCCGGGTTCAATTCCCAGTCCTCTCAAATTTGTTTCGAAAATTTTCTCGTTAAGTTTCCAAATGAAAATAAACAGGACATAATTAATAATAATAAACGTCACAAGGATTTTCAAATTTAAAAAAAAAATAAATAAATTTTTTTTAAATTTAAAATGTATTTTTTAAAAATTGCAGCAGGCTTGCAGCAACCTTTCCAGAAGCTTGTTGAAATTCTCCTGCAACTTTAAGTAGCAAGCTTACAGCAATCTTTCACGGCAAGCTTGCCGCAATCATTCTTAGTATGCTTGCAGCAATCTTGTAGCAATCTTTCATGGCAAGATTGCAGCAACCTTTCCTGGAAAGCTTACAGCAAGCTTTCACGGCAAGCTTGCCCTGGGTGGGACATTTCGCTAGCTCAGACAAGCTTGCAGCAAGCTTGCGCGGCAAGGTTGACAAGCTTGCACGGTGAACTTGCCGCAAGCTTGCTGCAAGTTTCCGTGCTATCTGGGATGATGATCGTTATTTTAAGTTGATGCCAGGACGCGACTATATATTATAAATTAGGTAAAATTCCTGTAGTGAACTAAGTGAAAAAAAAGTTGATCGGATCGGGCTGTAATTTGCACATAGTTTAGCCCTAGGAATGAGTTATTTAACCACGTATTTATGCATAACTATAACTTTACTTACCGTGGAAGAGAAATTTTTATTATCACATGTGGTTAGTAATTCAGTTTCTATAGTATTTCACAATACTATTGAAATTAAATATAATTTTTATTATTATTAATTAATTAACCTCAAAAATACATTAATTTGATGAATTTAACAATTTTTTAAATTTATGTGTAAAGTTATACGTCATTTTACATTAATTTATTGGAAATATTAAAAAAAACCAATGGAATGTAAGCATGACAAGTTACTTTGCACAATTTATATTATTATTTAATGCTATTTAATGCTTTATTTAACGCAATTATTACTAGAATTGAGTCTCTGCATATTTATTTACCTTTTGCAACACAAATTTTTTCATATTTTGTCATTTTAACCTTTTTTTGCAAACTACCAAGTTTCTACCCAATATCCACTCCATGTCTACTTTATAAAGTGGACGTTGAGTGATTTTATTCTGCCAGGGTTTCAAGTAAATACTGTGGAAATTTTTACGAAATTTTAGTTTCGATATAGATGGTGCTGCCATTCTAGGACCTACCCATAAGATTATAAGATCTTACCATCTATTTCTCTCCGTGCACCCTTAAAAATCATAAACGATTTAATCTAGTAAAACGGCCAGACACGGGTATTTTTTTCTTAGTTCTCGTTTCCGAAAATGTTTGGTTTTTTTGTGGGTCAAAAAAAGTTGAATTTTGTCGAGCGGTGTAATACAAGACTCGAAAAAGTGACGCAACGCTATCTTTTTTCAGTCTATTAAATTTTCTCACTATGCAGTGTGTTTTGCCGGTGAAAATTATTTTTTAAAAATAGTTCTTTGTTTCTTTTCGACTTAAAACTAATGGAATATTATTTTTAACACCCTAAGGGACCATTTAAGCAAAAGAATTCGATTTTTTAAAAGTGTTTGGGTTATGTTACGTCTTAAAGACACCAACAAACTTTTTGGGTAAAAAAATATAAAAATAATTTTTTTGACAGTTTTCATAGTGTAGATAATACAGGAATCAATGCTAGAACCAACTGTCGATAAGTAAGAATGATTTTTTGCCCGTATCCCCCCGCCAATAATATTTTACCTGACTCATTCACATTTAAAGTTCACATTTTACCCAACTCTTGACTGAAATT